ATATGAGTGACTTAGCAGCGGCTGGACACTGTAAGAACGGACTAGTTCAAGGAGATAGCAAACCGGCGCACATGGAATATCTTCAAAAGTCTTTTCCTCTTCCTCAAATGAATACCTCAATGTTTTACCAAAAGTCACATTGAATGCTACTAGAGGTGACACAACTTGTGTTGCGTTGTTTGAAGAACATTCCAAGGCAGGATGATACATTAGCTTAGGAATCGTGTACTGGTCAAAATTTAATAGTATGTATACGCAACAATCTCTCGGGAGAGCACTTTTTGAGCAGGATTTACATCAAGCTTTGCGATAGCTCACCGCCCGCGCTACTAGTGAGAGGGCTCAGCACGTGGGAAATAACTAGGTATCCACTTATATGAGGTGAAGGTGAGAGCGAGATTTTGGCTTTCGACTCTACACTCCTCCATCAACACAACAAACCAAAACATCAAAAACCGCACCAAAAACCAAGATCAGTTCACCCATGGGTGAACACCAGTCAATTCACCGCGACACAACTCTTCTTCAACGATGGAAGCAACCGAAGATGCACTGCCTACATGGCAAGAATTGGGAGCGTTCAGAGAGAAGGTAGTGGGTGTATGCAACGAGTTCAGCTATTTGATCGCACACACGAAGCCGAATCGACCGCTGGGTGACAGGCCGAGAGAAGCCACTGCGGAAACACCGACAGCGACAGAAAAAATGACATGGGTAACGGAGACTATGGACGGTCTAAAGAGAATGATGCAGGTACTCGAGAGAATGGCTGCGGCCCAGAACGCAGGTGCCGTACCCACACCAGACAGTCTCACACGTCCCTCGGGTAGTTCGATATCGCATGGCTCATTGCCGACGAACCCAGACCTGATCCCAGACTCCGGCTCTGCGTCATCGATCTCACCAAGACCCGGAAGTACTTTGGGTAATCCATCGGTGCAGAGTTCAACGTTTGTGAACCCGGAGCAACTTAGCAGAAATGCAAACCTCGCACCTCCTCTCCTCACATCGTCCGCTTTCGCAGATGCTGCGGCCAAACCGACGGTACGGGCACCAAAACGACTTAAGCGTGGTCATCATGATAGAGCCAGTGGTTTGTCTGATCCTGTGACGGAGGCAGGAAGTGGACACACAGACGAATCAGCACAAGGAGATGGAGTCTTTGTGCGTAATGTCTTCGACTTTCGCAGTAACACTACAGCGACCCTCGAAATACTTTCTCGCAATCCGGCTGTTCGTAAGATCGGTATGGGCGTGGTGAAAGTGCAAGATCTACGAAAGTTTCATCCGGCGCCAGATGCCTTTGAAGATCAGGAATCCGTTCACTGGAGTTCGATAGAGTTCAGAAAAGACAAGCATGAGATGGTGATCGTTAGGGCTGTCAGCGACGATGAACTGCCACATCCGGAGGAGTTGCGAGACCAGCTTCAGAACATGGAAGATGACCAAGACCACGAATATTCGTCCGAAGAGCTGGAAGATATGTTCGAATATCCGGTTGAGCCAGGCAGCACCAATCAGGCGCGACTGTACTTGATAGGCCCTACCAGTATGCTCGGTGCGTCCTTTAACCCTCTGCTAGACGCCGGGAAAAGACTGAAAGAGGCGTTAACAGAGACCGTGGCTGGCGTCAACGAGAGCTACGCCTATGTGAGCATGGCAAGTGGACAACGCACAGCCACAGCTATGCACATAGAAGACTGCGAGTGGTCGTCTGTCAATATCCTTCTCGCTGGCCAGCCCAAGGTATGGCTGAGTATCGAGCCTGCTTTCATAGACACGCTCACAGCTCGGCTCCGACAAGTGTACGCGATGGATCTGACACATTGGAGCTGCTCTCAGACTATCCGGCACCTCAACGTATTCATACCACCGTCCTCACTGCGGGAATGGGGGATCCCGTACCACATTCGATTGTGCCGACGTGGTGAGGCAGTATTCACAACACCCAGGGCATTGCATCAAGTTATCAACCTGGGAGACAACGTGGCTGAGGCCGTCAACTTTGCTTTGTCGAGCGCAGATATGCCGCCACTTTCCTACGAGTTCTGTGTCGAAGGCGTCTGTGGTGAGAACCCTCTTCAGTTCAGCAGTTTCCGAGGACAACAGGGCGTGAAGAGGAACCCCAGTGAGGAACCGCAGCAACGCAATGTAAGGTCACGCAAAGCTCCAACAGAAGATCAAACGTTGCAGTTACTGGCGCGCATGCGCAAACTCAGTCTATGCGAAAACGTAAATCTCGATGCCGGCGCATACACGAAAGGCGTACGCGTCGCCGCCTCTGTACTAAGCAAGGGCACTCTCCATCAAATCAAAGCACTAGTCCGAACGTGGCGCTCGCAGAAACTTGCATCGATGTCTCTGCAACAGAACGACGCAGTTGCTGAAGTGGCCTGTTTTCATCGACAGGTTATGGACATTGAGAACGAGCGCGATCATGATCTGTTCCGCCTGCGGGTAGCCGAGTACCAGTTCGCGCACAGCGTGCGCCTACACAAGAACAAGGACAAGATGTTCATCCACAAAGTACTCCAACGCTTAGGTATTGAACCCACCAAGAAAGCGCTCAAGGCCTTCAACAATGTCTACTCGCGGCGAGCGAAATGGCTCGGCATCTGCGAAAATTGTCCAGGTGGCTGGCCCAATGTCGGTATCTTGGCCCTCATTCCATTCACAATCGAGGCGCCATATTATGTGTCGTCTGACATGTGCAAGAAGATTACATACAAGGATGTATCTGAGTTTTCCGCCGTGATGAACCAATCTTCTGTCATAGCATCAGCACTCCTACGTGTAGGTGTTCGTGTGTACGATCTCTACAACAAGTCGGAAGAGTTTGAGTTTGAGTTTGAGCATTGCAGCGAAGAAGCTTACCAGCAATTCGGACGGAACAGGGGCCTTGGAGAAGACCTGGACGACCATGACGACAGAGATCCAGGATTGGGTTGGCTAGGTCACATCCGGCAGCACTTCAACGCCAACTCTGGCCCTGACCACCACTGCTCTGACGATGACGAGTGGGATACCGACCCCACAACTGCCGAGCCAGGAGCTAAGTGTCAGATATGCAGCGTTCAAGCTCCGTGCCAATGCCTACGCTTTCCTCCAAACGCGTATCGAATCAAGCGAGACTATGACCGGGGACGTTACGTGGAGGCGGCCGCGACATTGCCTGAAGGCATCCTGATCGGAGAGGTGATCGGCCATCGAATCAAGCGAGACTATGACTGGGGACGTTACGTGGAGGCGGCCACGACATTGCCTGAAGGTATCCTGATCGGAGAGGTGATCGGCCAGCTTGTGCCGCTCACCACCGAGACAGATGACGACATGCTAGTACTACACAGCGACACAGAAGCACTGTGCAAGATCAAACGTTCTGAGCAGGGAAACTGGACGAGGTTCGTCAAACAAGAGGGAAATGGAAACGTCAAGTTCGAATCCCTCCTTGTCAACGGGCATTGGAGAGTCTTACTACGCACGCTCGAAGTTGTCCATGCGGGGACTCAACTTGTAGCCACACGATAAGACAGGCCTCGGCGTCCACAGCGAGGGAGAGTTCGCGTTCAACCTACTCGTCAACATGACTGGAGCTCCAGCTTCAGCTCAGATAGTTGGACATACCAAGACCCGAGGTAAGTTCTGGCTGTACGAACTGCATTTGAGACATACACTGACTTCATACCCCTACCTCTGCAGGTGTCTGAAGGTTTCCGAGCTCATGGACGGAGATTGAGATGGTTATGGCGACCTCAAGAAACACGAAAACCTCCTCGCGGCACAGTTATGGCTGATCGAGGTGAGCGGAAATGGATGAACGGTAGCTCAGTGGAACCAAGAAGCCTTTGTGCGCAGCTCGTCTAGGCGTCTACAATGATTCAAGCGGGCTACATCCAGATACTTATGATAGCTCGTGTATGACTTCAAGGGCAGGCAGCCTCCTAGGCTCTCGTCCAAAAATCTCATGTAGTTTCCAGAGCCATGTTTTGTGAATGATATGTCCTTGCTTAAAAACCTTGTATACCTCAAAGCGATTCCAAAAGTTCGAGTTCTGCATGAGCTGCTACCTTTTAGCCTTCACAGGTACTTTTGGAATCGAAGCGTCCCCAGCATAGTACGGGGACACGAGTCAGCCGCAACTCCAGTCTTTGTGATGTTTAACTTGGCAGTGATAGCCTCTTCTCCCGTAATCTGCTCTTGCTCTTCTATTGCTACCCGGTCGTGTGCGGTGGGAGGGATCGACATGAGCGCAACATTATCACGGGTGTCCCGATCAGTCAGGTCCCGCCAGACTTGTTTCGACACCCAGATCTCATCCCAATCTTTGCCAGTTCTGTCGTCCATGTAGGCGCTTGCGCATTATCCGGGCTCCGCTACGTAGGATTGTGTATAATCATCGCTCGTCGTAGGGGTGATCGTGACGGTCCAACGAGGGTACGCGCACGGGGGTTGCCGAGGTCCCGCGGTCTGCAAGGATAAATCGCTTGGCGGATACCTTGGGGCTTGGCGTCACGTCCAGCAACATCACCTACTATATGCCCTCAAGCCGTCGCATACCCTTGACGCACTGCTTGCGCCTTCTTTAGTTTCTGCTCTCTTTCATGTCTGGCGCAATGGTATACCGATAATCACGGCGCCATAGCGGCTCAGCCTTTCGCCCACTAAGGGTATTTACCACTCAGGCATCACCACTACCCACCTTCTCGTACGATCTGTTCGATAAGCGGAACCGCTCATCATTTGCTTTGACGCATTCAGTTAGACATGGTGCTGATTCGCCGGGAAATGTATAACACTACGCTGCTGGGACGCCGTCATGGCAACTGCAGACAGACCACCTACACATACCTCATTACAAGGCCCTTAACGGAAGCCGCGCATCAACTTGGTTCGAGTGATCGCTACCGCTTTTAGATACGACGCACACCTCCGACATTCCACTTTCCCTCATCTAATCCTTGGGATGCCCTTACCACATGAACCATACATTGTACAGCTCAATGGTCATCTCTGGCTTAATTCGCCCCGTACGTCAGCGTGGCCTTCGCAAGTTTCCAACGTTCATCCTGCAGCTATACCACGGTTCTACAAGCGTCTGCCCCAGTACCGTGCCAGATGTCTAAGCACAAAAGGCCTTCCTCGATGGATCTTTCCTTTCGCCCTAAGCACTCACCACGAAGAAGATCGTTGGATTTGCATTGTTTTATGGTGCCTGCAACCAAACGCTCACAAACTCAAAGCGAAACCGACCGCCGAACTCCACCTCCACTCGTCGTACGCGAGACACCAAAGATGGACATTAGATGGACCTACCGTGTCGGCGCCTGCGTTGACCGTACCTCCCTTCGATAATATAAGAGCCCAATGGATACCAGAGTGGAGCGACGGCGTATTTCGACAAAGCGTAGCCCGCATTCTTCAGGACGCCCAGGTCCGGGTTCTTGGCTACGGCCTCGTAAAGCGCGTCCGACCCGGCCAGACCCCATCCCTAACGCCTCTCACGCTATTAGTCACCTCGGACGTTTCTGTGGATGAACAATACTCGGCCTGGAAGGTCGCGGTGAGTGATCTCAGATTACTCTTCGACAAAGCCAATCGCGAGGACCTTACGATTGAAATTACAGACATCAGAACAGCAGACGGAGTACCATCATCGCCGCTCACAGATTGCGCGCCAGAGCTTGTCGCAGCATGGGAGTGCTATCGGCCAGCTCTCCTTGAAGATATCCAGGAACAACAGTGGCTCACCGCCGACGTCGTCCTCCGTGAAATCGGAGAATTGCACCCCATACGCGCCCCTACTCTCCTCATCACCGCACAGGATGCCGACTCAGCCATATGGTGGGACAAAATCCTACCTCATATACGTCAACAACTCCCCCAGACAATGGAGGTCGACCTCCTTTACACACCACACCTGGACATGCAGACATCTGGACACGAGGAAGAAGCAGAGGAACCGTATGTACGCCCTGCCATATGTTCTACAATGCAGGACTACGACGCCATCGTAGAGATGGGAGCCAGTATTGGCGTAGAGCAGCCGGACAACAGCGGAACAGTGGGCGCTGTCATCGTACTCAAGGATGCGGCAGGCAATGAGACAAATTGCGCCTTGACCAATCACCACGTCGTTGCGACACACGATCCAAAGAGTGTCATCAATAGCGGTATGTCTGTCGGGGAGTACCTAGGTGTGAGCCATGACATCTCGCAGTCAGGTCTAGTCAAGATTAAAGCCCCATCCAACCCAGACCACATGAGATTCCTCAAATGGAAAAGATGGAGAAAGTCGACCATGACCAAGTTCTTGCAAGTCTCGATAATCCACATCACCCTGGATACGCTCGGGCGCAAAGCAGGGTTGCGGCGACTAACAGAGACTGCCAAGTCCTAGACGCCGACCCGAATCGTCTTCTAGGTACGGTGATCGCATCGTCGGGCTATCGTGTGCGTGAGAACGACGACTACACCCCCGCTGAAGTACAAACACTTTCCACTGTGGATGACGTGCTGGACGACGCCTTCAAGAGGAAGGACGGTACATTCCCCCCGAGCCTGGCCGACCAGATCGCTGGTCGCACCCTGAAATTCGCGCTCGACTGGGCACTGATGAAGGTCGCCACAGGCCGGACAATGAGCGACCGTGTTCCCATTGGTGGCGCAGGCATCAATGTGCCCTAAGGAAAAGGCTGAGGAGGTCTGCAGCCTACATTGAGATAAACACATGCAAAGTAGTTAGCCCAACAGCAACGTAGGCCCCAGGGTCTTTGGTTGTCCCCTTCAATGAAGTGCGAGTATGCGCCAGTATCGAGATTTACGTTCGTCGCATAGACCGAGTTCACGCATGCGTCCAAGCAAACCTTGGAATTACATCATTGATCTTTACTTGGAGCTTTGCGTGGCTGCTCTGCAATGTGTTGAGAGACAAGCCAACGAGGTCCACGTTCGCGGAGAATGGTGTGGATGAAGACCTCAGTCCGTTCAAGACTGCTTAAGACGCGAGTGCGATATTGTGAGTACCTCCGAAAGATGCAAGATTATGCGTTTTGGAACTAGAGAAGAAGCAGACGATGATTTATTATGTTCTCTGCGATGTAAGACCATGGAGCGAGGAGGCATTCGATTTGATTTCCAAAAAGGAACTGAAATGCGATGATGTTGTAAAGTCCTCCTGGCTGCAGCATGAAGTCAGAGCTTTCGACTTTCGGGTCGTTTGTATGCCTTACTTGGTCGTTTGTTTTTGGAAATCGTAATACTCTCAGAGACCGAAAAGAACATGCAAGCTTCATTATCTTTTTTAGTGGACTGGAGAGGACATGAGTAGTATCCACGTCGATTTTGGTAGGCCAGCATCGCACAAATCAAGTGAAGTTTCGTCATTCGAGAAGTCGTCTGTCAGTTGTGTTCTGGTTTCGAGGGACTGGCGGGAGTCCAAACACAACGAGCGTTGTCTGCTTTTTTTATGGAGTGTAGAGCTGAATTCAGACATGCGCTGTGAATACTTTTATTTTGACGAGGAACAAAAGATGCAAAGCACCATATCATCTTTTCTCCATGCTTTGATCTTGCTGGGAAAGACCGGTCTGGGAGTCCACATAAGCCGGATAACTGGCGATTTTGGTAGGAAACAAGACTCAGACAGAGGCACGTATCGTTGCAGCGATGATTTTGATTTGTGGAAAAGATCGGGTTGGAAGCCCACATGAGCATAATAGTTGACGATTTTGGGAAAAAAAGACTGGACAGGAAATCCACATTATCTTTGTGACGGTGGGTTTTGGTGAAACAGAAGACAGGCACACATAGGGCTGCACTCAGGGTATTTTGAGTTTAGAGAAAGTATTGTAGGAAGAAAGAGGGAGGATAAGCAAAGAGATTTATATAGCCGTATTGGCTCTCCAGGAGATCACGTGCTGCACTGACGTTTGCATGTGAGAGGAGAGGAAGGTCATGATGTAGCGACATGCGACGGGTATATTTCATTTCGACTCTCCAGGCACTTTCATGAGCGCATCTCCAACATGAGTTCTCCATATGCTTTTGTAGCTTCCAATTTGCGCCGTTCCCATTTGACTCCAAAGTATGCTATACAACCATCCTAACCGTCAAGCACGCCGCTCTCCTTGAGAGAACGGAATAGCTCTGGCTCCAAGAACTTGCTAATTGTGACATCCTCCGCGAGACCTTTCCTCCTCCTTGTCTTGAGCACGAAATCGCGTGCGAGTTGTTGGGCCGTTGCGGGTTCGAGCGGTCGGGTTGTGATGTCTTTGTCGAGAGGGTCGCCGGGGACGATGGACCAGCGGTCGAAGACGAGGGAGAGGGAGACTTGGCCTTGTGTGTGGATCTATGGGAAGTTAGTATATGCGCTAGGTGATGGGGGTGATTGTAGGAGGTGTACGTACCCTGAGATCGGTCTCGAAACCGAAAGAATCGATGACCGGGATAAGACCACGAACGTTGTAGAGCGGAGTACCCGCGATGGGTCCGTCCTGCAGGACGTGTCCTCTCCTTCGTGCGAGGACTGTGTACAAACTGCTCTTTGTGTCTGCAGGTCCGACCATGCTGCACGAGTACACCGGCTCCATGAGCCTGGGACTCGCCATCAGGAAACTTGAGTAGCACGCTCGTCGACTGGTGGGAATGATCTGGCCACCTCCGCGGAAGATGGCTTCTGGCGCAAGGTCGACATCGGTGATTCGAAACTTTGTGTTGCGAATGGGCTCTTCGCAGAGCGGGCCTTCTCGGGTAGCCCAGCTGAAACCTTGTCGAAGCGTATCGCGAACCGTTCGCAGAGTCTTGCTGTCGACCTCTGAGGGGAGTGTGTCATTTTGTAGGATGTTGGGCCCCATGTCATCAGGTCCGAAAGCCCAGATGTTGCGCGACGCAAGCAAGTCGTATCCGTAGTTCTCCTCGAAGAACTTTCCAACGACTCTCACAGGGTCCTTGATATTGACCTTTCCAGCCTCAATGTCTTCCGCGATACCTGGGTCGAGCGGCTCAGCAATCATCGTGAGCTTGTTCTTCTTGTTCGGTGTAAGCGCGTAACACTTGATGGCGGACATCTCAACGACCGTCTCGCAGAATCTTGTTACGGGATCTGACACCTTGATCTCCATATCGGCGTACAACCGTCGCAGATCGTGCAGAACACAGTCCATGTACAGTTCGCCCGTGCCGAGAACAACGTGCTCTCCTGACTCCTCGACCTTGGTTGTGATGAGCGGATATGACTTGTTAATCTTGCGCAGACCGTCAAGCATCTTCGGTAGTTCGGAGGGGTTTATCGGTTCGACGGCGACCTTGAAAACGGATTCAAAGAAGTGGCGGATGGGTCGGAAAATGTAGGCGTCTTCGTCTTCGGGGAGTTTGGTAGCTACAATCGTCGCCGTCTTGACTATCGAATTATCGACACCGCCGAGCAGCACCCAGTTACCTGCCGGAACACCGCTGACAGGGATGTTGTATCGTGACTGCGCTATCCATGTGTCTGTTACTGTCGCAACGACCATGTCTTCCTCATCCTCGATCGTGTAGCCTTCACCAAGAACACGCACCGACTGCGGCGAAGTTGCAGTACCGCTCATCACTCGGCCCAGTGCTGTGAACGACTTGGCATCTGTTGCATTGAATAGCTTCGTAACGTGTATGACTAGGGGTCCATTCTGGTCGCACTTCTGCATGGCTTCGGCGGTCTTCGTATCCAGAGGTCCGGTGTAGTGTCTTTGCAGCAGCCGTTGCGCACCTTCTTCGGGCGAAGGAACGTGTTGGGTGATCATGTCTACGAAACCGAGAGATGGCCCGAAGTACTGCTGGCATACAAGGCGCATCAGCTCCTTTGCGTCGGTCTTGTATTCTGATGGCTTCAGTCGGATGCCCAGAGTGTCGAGCGTGTCCTTGAGGTCATCCGGGCTCTGGCTCAGTGTGTGCGAGTATATCTTGTAGACAGGCTCCAAGATCCAGTGTACGAAAGACCGTTGTGAGCCCTCCTCCTGCCGCTTGCGACTGAACTTGCGGCTTCCAGGGTTGTAGAAGATGTCGCCCCAAAGACGCATGGCGAATTTATCGATATCCAGACCCTTCATCGGAACGCCGAAACCTGGGAGTTTCGATGGACCGGGGTAAAAGTCGGAGTACATCTTCGCGAAGGACTGAATGGTGAAGCACCATCGCATGCTGGAGCAAGCGAAAGCGACATTGCCTTTCTCAGGGCTTACTCGTCTGCTCTCGCCGCGGCCGGGGATGGTGTTCTCGATGATAGTGTTGACCTCCTCGATTACGTGCTTAATCTTGAAGTATGCGTCGCTAGGCGGCAGTTTCAGCTCTAGAATCAAGCGGTCCATCTTATTGACCACAAGTGTTAGGGGCAGATCCTCCAGCACCGCGTGTTTTATGATCTGCTCCGTGTTTACTTGCACGCCTTCAACCACATCCACCACCAAGACCACTCCGTCGACTAGGCGCAACGAGGCGGCGACTTCATCGGCGAAGTTTACGTGTCCGGGGGTATCGAGGATGTTGAAGAGATGCGACTTCAGCTTCGTGTTCTGGAGGACGAGGCTCATGGGCGCAGCCTTGATGGAGAGGCCTCGTTCGCGCTCGAGCACGTGTACGTCGGTGTATCGCAGCTGCTCCTCCCGCTTCTTGCCCCTCTTGTAGTCCAGACGATCTTGAATGTCGTGTGTCTCCATGACCAACATATCCATAAAGGCAGTCTTTCCGTGGTGCAAGTGTCCAGCTATGGCGATATTCCGTATCTGGTCGGGGAAGTTCATCAAATCCGTCAAGAGCTCTCTCGAGTGATGCACCGGGGGCAGATCTGTCTCTTGAATCGTGAACTTCTTCTGCACTACCGGCGCAATGATAGGCTGCGCCAGCGACTGCGTGTCTTCCTCGTGCACCAAGACTTCGACATCGGGGCCGTATACATCGGACGCAGAAGGGTAGTACTGCTTGTCTTCGTGGAGGATCACGGCATTGGATGGCCCCTCGTCCACCTGCATAAGCTGCTGGTCGTTCGTCTCGGCTTCCTCCTCATCGTCGAGGACATAGGCGTCGGCTGCCTGGCCGGTGCTCTGGACATCGTCGTCGGACTCGGCCTCGCCAATAAAATTTCCGAACCTGTCAAAAGTCAGTCGCGTAACATATTTGGAGAGAATGGGGGCACTCACTCGTCGTATAGGTCATCCATGGCGGCGGTGGGTGTGGGTATATGCGCGGTGGTGATGCGCGTCGAGCTTGAAGCTGTCGCAAAAGTTCAGACGTGGTTCCGCGGCCTAGCGCTAGGCGGTGAGGGCGGAGGTCGTGCCTGACCAATGGGACTCCGAGGCGCCTCCTGCAGGGCCAGCAGGCGCCATCCGTTGTCGCGCAAGGCTAAACTCCAAAAAGATCCATCGGGGTATATTTGTTGATCGGGCCATTTGCTCAGAGGCACCTTATATCTGCTCTCTGCACCTTCACTCCGCTTTCCTGCATACCCAAGATACCCATCATGTCGTCCCTTCCCCCAGTTTACATCGTCTCGGCCGCCCGTACGCCTACGGGCATGTTCTTGGGGTATGTTCCCTGGTACTAGAGAAGAGGGGCACCGCCGACTCACGCGACAACAGCTCCCTCTCGAGCCTGAGTGCTGTCCAGCTGGGCTCTCACGCCATCAAGGGTATGTCAAGTCGTTGCAATTGGAA